AACATGAGAATGATTTTGCAAATTTTAAAGTTACTAAAACACAAGTTCGAAGTTGTTTAAACATTTTCAGATATGAATAAGTATTTCCACCTTCTTCTTTTTTCGAGTACAATGTAGTTTATTTGCCAAATTATTTATATTTAATACAGCACTTAAATCTGTTTTTGCAATTTATAATTTTCTATTACAAGACAAAGTTTTTCAAAAAGGACATGCAGCAAGAGGACAGTGGATCAAATGTAAAATGCAAACGAAAAATCTGTATATTTTATTAATAAATGGTTGAAATACACTTCTGAATTATTTAATACTAGACCAGTAGGTCTATAATGCAAATTTTATTGAGAATATTATTAAACTTATGATAATAAAAGTTAGGAAATCTAAAAATTACACTAGGTGGTTTATATTTGATATTTATGTGTGAGTGACTGGAAATAATTCTCCAAAATAACATCTATTTATTATAAAATAATCGAAAGTAATTGAAAAAGTAATTATAATTACATTGAAAATTTTAGCTGTAATCGATTAAATTACGATCACAAGTAATCGAAAATCTCTTCGATTACAGATTACTGTCGATTACTTGAAAAAAAGTAATCATTACAATCGATTACGATTACTCGATTACGATTACCCCATCCCTGGTGTGTAGTGCTAATTCATGATGACGCCAACCACTCAATACCCAGTGATTGTCCTAAATTTTGAATACATCAATTTATGTACATGTCTTCTTCAAAAGTTATCTCTTTATCATAGAATCATTGAAGCTGAATCATGTCTAGAATATTAAAATTAACAAGCTAATTCAGAGAATTTGTGTCCCCCACTTAGGGAAAAAAGAAGAGCATGCAAAGTTCTGGGGGGTTGTTACACTGCCACCTGTATTTGTAGAATTATTAAATGTATACATGTATATTGAAGCAAATTTTAAAAAAAATGCCAATATGGATATAAAGATTTCATTGCTTATTCTTTAATATGTGTATAGAAGATTATTTTTAATATACAGAATATTTAATTTATCACACAGTAGTAACCCGGACCTCTTGTTTGCTAGGCGAGCAACATACCATTAGACCACAGAGGCACTTGATTATACAGCAGATTAAATTCAAACATTAACTCACATATAATGTTTATATTGATGTTTGATATTGTCAAAATTTTAATCAATACATGGTGTCTAAGAGCACGGGCCACTTAGGGCCTTTTTTGGCCCTGTAAATTTCTGAAAAATGAAAACTGCATACTTTTAGTCGACAAGGCAATAAATACCACTAGAATACTTGGTGACTGAATTTCTACTAAAAATGACGTAATTTTCTTGCTAGTTAATGCATTATGACGTCAAGAATTGCGTCATTATTCGCATTTCCCGAATATTCCTTCAAAAATGGTCAAAATATGATGCTATTTTTCAATATTTCGTATACAGCACAACCTCCGATCCAAAATCTGCAAATATATTATGAAAGAACTGCTTTTAAAGATTATAAAACATATTTTAATTTTTGGATCGAGGGGTGTGCTCATATTTTAATTCTTTGTTGAATGTTCTCAAATTCACCTGTTTTCTGCAAAATTGAAGAACATTGCAATTTCACACAACCTGTTTTCCAGTACCTGAACTCTTTAGAGGAAACTTTTATATACCAAATGAAAGCGCCAAGTCTCTACTTTATATTGATGTTGAGAAAGGGCCATAGTGTGTTAGTGGATAAATTGGTTTATCTACAGGGCCATTTTATGCATAAAGTGAACCTAGCTCTTTAGCCTTTACTAAACAGTTCTAATAGATGTAATAAGAATATAATTCCACCGACAACCTGTATTATATGTAATAACTCTCCACAAGCCCCTGTGCTAAAAATAGTGCCACGTGACTTTTAATACATGTAAATAATAATTAAAAAATGGGGCGGGACACTTTGAGAGGGGCGAGAGAGGCCCTAGGGAGTTATGGTATAAAATTTCATTGCAAAAGCTCAAAGGCTTCTTGAGATATCGCCCGGAAACAAAAGTGTTACACACAGACGGAATGTATAAATTTACGACCTTGAACTCTGACCTTTTGACCTCAAAATCAATAGAGGTCTTCCTTAGGCCACAGGGAGTTGTTATGTAAAATTTCATTGCAAAAGCTCAAAGGATTCTCAAGATATCGTGTGGAAACGAAAGTGTTAAAACAGACAGAATTTATGACCTTGACCTTTGGACCTCAAAATCAATAGAGTTCTTCTTTAAGTCATAGGGAGTTGCTATGCAAAATTTCATTGCGAAAGCTCAAAGGGTTCTCAAGATATCGTGCGGAAACGAAAGCATTACAGACAGAAAGAAATACAGACAGACGACGGACAAATTGTGATCAGAAAAGCTCACTTCAGCCTTCGCCTCAGGTGAGCTAAAAATAGAGGGGGGTTTGGGGGTTCCTCCCCTAACAAGGGGTTGAAGGGTACACCTGAGTAACTGGGGGATAACATCATTATAGGAGGGGAAATTCCCCAGCCCCTGGGTCTTAGAGACAACCTTCTATAGTCATTACTTTGTTATATTTTACAGAGTGTTCTCTTTAAACACAGTTTACAATGCTTTGTGCACCATAAAACGATATTTGAACAAGGGACTAGGTACTAAAGTGGAATCAATACTTTTCAAAAGTTGTGTCGCTTGTCCACCATCCTTAGGGGAATAAAAGGCCCCTGGGCCACATCGCTCAACTGAGCACAATGGCTAAGAAAAATCACAAATCGTGCGGAAACGAAAGCGTTACTTCCATATCAATATGACTAAACATGGCTTTGCTGTTCTTGAGAAGACGATTTTAAAAGATTTCCTATATATTCCTATGTAAAACTTTGATCCCCCATTATGGCCCCACCCTACACCCAGGGGGTCATCATTTGAACAAACTTGAATCTATACTATGTAAAGAAGGTTTTCTGTAAGTCTGAAATTTTTTGGCCGAGTGGTATTTTTAGAAGATTTTTAAAAGACGCCACTAAATTTTCACTATTTCTTAATTATCTCCCCTTGAAAGAGGATGGGGCCATTCATTTGATCAAACTTGAATCCCCTTCACCTAAGAATGTTTTGTGGCAAGTTTGGTTGAAATTTGCCAGGTGGTTCTCAAGAAGAAGATGAAAATGTGAAAAGTTTATATGACAATGACAAACAACAGACAAATTTCGATCAGAAAAGCTCAATTAAGCCTTTTGCTCAGGTGAGCTAAAAAAAGAAACATCGAATTCTAACAGTAGCCTTTATAGCTTCCTGACTTGTAACTTTGTAATTTGACATAAAAAAAACTGTTTGCATCTTGTATTTTGTTTACCCCTGGATGTGGCTACTTATACAATGAAAGAAAAAATTTAAAGTGTGGACTGAACTACTTCTTTTAGGAACTGCAAGTTGTTCAAAACAAGGGACACAATAAAGATTTTATTTATGTAATATTCATTTTTCAGGAAAAGTAGAATTGGTCTGGTTAGCATTGCGACCTTTGGGCATCTTTTTTTTTTCTTTTAAAACTTCCAATACATTTTCAGAATGTTTCAGGCTTTTGTGTATCCCTATATGAATGTGGAAAACTTTGTACCTACTATAGCCCCACTCTGACACTGTGGCCTGTCTTCACAAACCCCTGTGGCCCATCTCATCTCCAAGGGCCCTGATTTTTACGATTTAGAATCTTCATTGTGTTATTATGGTTACACATTTTTAATTATCCTATCCTTCCTTTTTATGATTATCTCCCCTTGGAAAGGGGACATGACTCTTTATTTGAGCAATGAATTCTCTTTACCCAATGATTCTCTAAGCTGTGTTTATTTGAAATTTGGCCAAGGGGTCTTTGATAATAAGTTGAAATATGTAAAGTTTACAGATGGACACAAAGACTGCAGACAACAGGGGTCTAAAATGCTCTTTTTATAGTTGGTGCATTAAAATATCACTGGTCAAATTCTTCTGGCATATGAAAAACATAACTTATGTACAAGCATGTTTTATATAGAATACATACTCTTTTCCATATCACATTCCGTATCAGCCCGAGACACCAATATAAGCCAACGGGGCTAAGGCCCAAGGGTTGATACAGTATGGAATATGGAAAGGGGCATGTATCATTATGTTTATTACATACTAAGTAAAAAACATACAGCACACATTTACTTGTAAATAGTCACCGACTAGCTTATTGTATCAAATAAAATTAATTTAAAATTCAATACAGAAGTTTATAGAGAGAATGTGAATGAAAAAGTAGGTTTATTATCACCAGTACTATTTTTAAGAATAAATCTACAAAGAGTGTGATAAACCTTTGCATCAGCCCTTCAGATCCATATCAGCCCTGGAGTTGTATCAACCCAGGAAGCTGATAAAAAATACTGTGAGGTCAGGCATACTGCATAAGCAAATAAAATGCAACGCCACAGCGTATAATACACCCATCAAATATTCAGTTATCATAAACAGTTTAAAGTGCAAGGAAGAAAATCCTGTCAACCTTGATACAAAGATTTTAATGATTTTTCCATTCCTACTGCTTGATGTGCATTTCCTGTGGTGTAGTTATATGAACAATTAATACATCATATATTTCTCAACTGGTTGTGTTAGGGTTTTACAAATGCCCACCTGAAGCTTTGTTCATTTTATTTTTTATGAATGATGAACAATGCTACAGCCTAATAAAACATCAAAACACTAATCATAATGTTTATTCTTTAACACACTGTAAAGTTGTCATCTTGGTGAGACATGACACTCTGCACTTTGTTGTTGAGATATAAAAATTTAAAAAAAAATATATTACTGTAAAATATTCGTTGGGGATTTAATTTCGTTTATTTCGTTGTTAACAATTTTAACCAAATTAATAAATCCCACATAAAATTTTTATATGATTATACATTGAATAAAGTTACTTTCGAAACAACGAAATTTAATGCCCATAAAACCTTTTTAGAGGACAAATCAACGAAATCTTATCCCCATGAAAATTTGTGCTTCTACAGTATACAATATCAAATTAGTTTTAAATACTTTACACCAAATTTATTCTGAAAGTAAAAGCTAGCCTACAACTTTTTAATTTGACAGATACCATATTAGTTGCAATTAAGAGTCCAGATTCCTTTGCCCAATTCCAAAGAAATATAGATAATACCTGCTTGATCAGAGATTGTCTACCAGTAATCTCCTTACACCAAACTCATTAATTAATCTCTAATTTGACATGCAATTTGTCTGCTATCAAAATTCTCCTTGAAACAAGAACCTGCTTGATAATTACATCCAGGGACAATTGGAATTTCTTTTATTATTGACACAAAAGAAACATTAAATTTGTTATAGATTGCTGTAAAGTATATCATGAAAAAGCACTTCCAAGTATTCAGTACAAAACAAACCCTTAAGGAAGAGCTTCTGGGCAATGTCATGGCAGCTTGGTGCCACCGATTTCCTTGGTCTCCGTACCGCCACCAAATTCTCTGATTGTTAAAGCCATTAGTGGAAACGTTGATGTTTAGTGTGTTAATCGTGACACCATACATGTGGTACTTAAAATAAAGACATGCACCATCACCTACAAATACAGACAACATTTTATACAATATCTTGAATCATTTGCATTAAGTCTACATCTTACAAGAAAACAGAGGAGTTTTGGATGATTGTCACTTACAAATGTATATATATATTGTATATATATTAAAGTTAAATCCTTTTCCAAGCCATGAAGCTCATAGCATAGGTGTCTATACCTGGTATCTGTGGAGCTAAGCAGATGAGTCATTTGACTCCCCTTGAATTGGACATATAAGTCCACTGTAGGTTAACTCCCAGCCAGGGTTGGCAAAAACCGGGAAATACATTCATATACCAGTCATGAGCGACATTTGTTTCATGTTTGAGTCATATGTAGTCTATGAACTTCCATGAAATGAACCCAAAGATCCCTATTGGGTTTTTATGTAACCAAAGAAGGATCTAAGATAAGTTAAATGTAGAGCATGGTGTAAATATCAAACCTTGGCAGAGGCCATTCAATTCTTCTCAAGGTAATTATATCTCAAAACAGGAGCACAAAAACTGTCCAGAGCAATTTGTTAAAACAACATGATAATCATTGATTATAATAACTACAATGTTTATAGAAGGATTAAAACAAGTGTGTTTTGTTCTTGGATTTATAATTAAACCTGATTAATAAACTTAATAATTTTAAAAACTGAAAAGAAACTTGAATTGGAAAACTTCAGTCAAGGAAATATACAGCTTCAGAATGCTTGTGGGTGGGGGACCTGGATCCTGAATAATTATGTTAAATTGCAGTTTGAGAAATTATATATTCAATATTATTCATCATGCATTTCTATATTTATTTTATTCATGAATTTTGTATGAAATTGAATAAATTAAAGAAATACAAAGTTTAATAATGTAGTATTTCCCAGTTTAGAGAAAATTTTTAGTATTTCCCGGGACGGGAAATACTGGTATTTACCACTGGTAATTCCCACTACTACTATTTCCCGGCCAACCCTGCTCCCAGCATAAGCTGGTACCCATTGCAGCTGGTAGAATGATGCAATGCTGATAAAATGACCTGTCCAAGGACACAACATCAAGCACCAACATTTGAACCAGCAACCTTTGGATAACTAGCCAAGCACCTATAACCACTGAGCCATGTGCTCCTTTCAGTTTTAAACATACCTGTATTTAGGTACTTTGAGTTTAAAACAGCATTGGCTTTGGATGTTTGGGATGATGTCTCAATATATAGATAATACGACCCTTCAGCAGCACTTGATGGACCTGTATTAGAACTTCCTGTTGCTCCAGAATAACGAGTCCAATCAAATCGATCACTGGTGGACTGAGAGAGTCCACAATTTAAATCAATGGTCCAGGTTGAAGATTCAAAGTCACAGTTTACTGAATTTAACACAGCTGTACAGAAACAAAATTTCAAAGGTTAAATGATGTAATTGACAACTGTTGTTCTTTTTGTTTTCATGTTTTTTGTCAATTAACCCAGTCACAGTTAAATTATTTTACCTTGTGAATATTAATATGAAATGAACACTGAGAGTATTGTTGCAGAATAGTCATCCCCTTAGTTGCTCCAGCATATTTTATTTACAAGGAGCACATTCAAAGTTGTAATAATTCTAATGTCCTATGTATCTGAGATTTCTGAGAAAAACCATAATATAATGTGAGCTAGTACACCACACCTTTTTCTTCCTGACAAATAAATATACATAGATAAATATAATCCCACATTGTGATCATGAAGTTCACAATTCCATCAATTTTGATTTAAAGAATATCAAGGGTTGATGTCACTTTACAAATTGCAATCTGTAAAAAAAAATTTGTTACACATATCAGCTCCACAGGAATTAATTGCCCAGACTTGAATCTGCACTACATGGGAAAGCTTGCATTTTACTTTGACTAAATACAGTTCAGTACAGTATTCTTGTGAAAAATATTTTAAAAGATTTTTTTCTTTCATATTCTATGCAAGCCTTTGACCCCATTAACGTTACCCCATGATAGCCATGGTGATTCTACACTTAATAATGAGACTCTCATTCAATATTTACTGGCAGTCTTGAATCTAAATTTTTTTTAAAAATATTTTTTTTTTGTCCTGTGTAAAGTGTGTATCCATATTTTTTGGGTCAAAAAACTTTTAAGCTTTTATATTTTATTACTTTGATAATTACCATTACATGGTCCTTTGGTTACATTCACTTGGTCGATGGCTATATCACCTGTGTAACTAGTACCTGACATCGCTTCTATGAATATCTGAAATCAAATCAAATAATGAGTAAATTTCTGTAAGGAGACTTTTTATATGGCTATTCATAGTGTCATCTAGCGGTGAGTCAAGTGGAGAGAACACAAAGTATCTTATCAAATGTTAAGAAATGAAATTAAGAACGAAACAAACCCTTAAGGAGGAACTTCTGGGCAAGTCCACGGCGGCTTGGTGCCACAGATTTCCTTGGTTTCCGTACCGCCACCAAATTCTCTGATTGTCAAAGCCATTAGTGGAAATGTTGATGTTGAGTGTGTTAATCGTGGCACCATACATGTGGTACTTAAAGTAAAGACATGCACCATCACCTACAAATACAGACAACAGTTACATTTTACACAATATCTTGAATCATTTCCTATGTGGTGGACAGACTGGTTTGACTGCCAGTGGCCAGATAGCTCAGTTGGTAGAGCACTTCAATGGAGATTCAGGAGGCCTGGGTTTTTATCCCTGTCTAGTCCAGCCATACATTTTCTCCCTTCCTGTTACATATGGTGCCCTGCCATGCCCTGGAAGAGACGGTGAAAGACCTGTCAGGGAAGAGCCTGAGTTGGTGTCTTCTGGGCAAAGACCTTGAAGGATGTAGTCAGACAGATTCTATTGCCAGTGGTCAGATGGCTCTGTTGGTAAAGCCCTTGACTGGAGATGCAGGAGGCCCAGTTTGAACCCTGGTCATACTTACAAGAAAACAGAATATGTTTGCTAATACCTGTAGTTTATACGTACCTGTATCTATGTACTTTGAGTATAAAACAGCATTGTCTTGGCTCATCCGGGGTAATGATGTCTCAATATACAGATAATACGAGCCTGCAGCAGCACTGGATGGACCTGTAGGGGAACTCGGTGTGGACCCCGTCCTACGGGTCCAATCAAACCGATCACTGGTGGACTGAGAGAGTCCGCAATATGAATTGCTGGTCCAGGATGATGATTCAAAGTCACAGCTTATCAAATAAAAATCGTAGATACTTTCATCTGTGATATAAAAAAATCAAAGGTTAAAACATCCGTACAATTTTTCATCATTGAATTACAATGATATTCAAATTCTTAAAATAAATTTGATCAGATTTAGAGATGAGGCTTCTCTTAGTGACCTACACTTTTGGAATTAAATCATTTTACAAGTTCCTTATCTATTACTTTCTATACACTTATACTAGGTTCTAAGAACCAAAACTATGAAAGCAGTAGAATTCTCTAGCTTTCCATGTAATAGTTAATAATGCTGTAGTTCTCTCCATTGTAACTACCTTCAGGGATAGCAACAGGCTCCACCCCAGTACACCTCACTGCAGCATCTTGCTGGTGTCCCGTACAGGTAGAATGTCCCAAGGTAAATTGGCAGTCATTTAAAGACAACTCATTGCCTCCACAGTTCATATGATCTAATAGAATAGGTACATCATCAGCAGCATTTCCATAGTATCCCGATGGCATCACATAAGCTGATGTAAACCTACATGTCATAAAGTACTAAGAATCAAAACTAGAAAGAATTGTCTTTGATAAGGTTATCATATACTAAATAAAGTACAGTCCAAGCCAATTAAGCTGTCCTCAGAGGTAAAACTGGGAATCTGGCTAAACTGTTTAGACAAAAAGCCATCAACTGCAGACCCAATTGAATTTAAACCAAAATTATTACAATATAAGCAGAAATTTTGGAGAGGATTCAATTTTGGCATTTTTAGCAAGGTTGTTGAGATCACTAAAATTTAATATTGCTAACAATTCAATCCACATCAGAGATTATCCTTATCTTTCTATACATCACATTTTGCTCAATTTACTTCTTGCTAAAATTAAATATCGCTAAATTTGCATCTGGCCAAGAATTCCTCTTATATGGTAACTTGAGCAAAATGAAGGAATGAACATGTATTGCACTGCTTCTCCGTAAAGTCTCAAAAATACATTTGAACTTCAATATCTTGGAATACGTAGTCTTTAGAAAGCCATAAGATATTTGAATTTTAAAATTTGAGTTTGAATCCCAATTTGATACCAAGAAAAATTAAACTAGAGGTATTGTGAGCAATGAGCTCACAAAATGATGTCCCCTGCTCCTGTTTGAGTATAATGGCAAAGTCAATTTATTGCTTAAGGAATTCCCAAAAATCTGTCTAATTAGAACATAAAATAGGAGGTACACAATGGCATAACGATTCTGTGAAGTCTCACTGAATTTTATTCTGTGAGTGGTATAGGAGCATTTATGGATAAGAGATGGTTACCCCCAGTATTAAAGAAAGAATGCCAGTGAACATGTTTTGCAATGGGAAACCCAAAAATCTCACTTGCTGGCTTGATTAAAATGTAAAATAGGAAGTGCATAATGGCACTATGAGATAAAGGTTCTGTGAAAGTTGCATTAAATTTTATTCAGTAGTACTTGTGTATTAATATAGAAGGAATTGTGGATAAGAGATGGGTAGCCCCCATATTAAAGAAAGAAAAACAATGTCCATGCTTTGCAACTGGGAACCCCAAATATCTCTCCAATCAAAATTAAAATAGAATTTGCAAATGGCACTATGTAATAAGGATTCTGTGAAAGTCTCATTAAATTTTACTCAGTGGCATAGGAGGAACTGAAGATACATAGATGCCCCCATCACTATATACATCCACTTTTCAAGCCAGTGGTGTAACAAGATACCTTGGTCACTTTGTTGGATCATTATATTTTGAAGTATTGGCAGGAGGGGGTCATCTCTGCAGGAGGAAACAGTACCCAAAGAAATCCAAGTCTGAGTAGGCAACTACCTTACCATCTCAAATACAACCATTGCCGATCAAAGGGATCAAACTCAATTCACAGACACCCTCAGGGATATTTTTACTAGGGATGCGCGATTTTATCGGTATACCGGTATATCGTGATCTTTTATTGCATGATACGTATCGTGATACGGAGACTAAAATACCGGTATTTGGTACATAATTAAAAATTCCAGAAATTATTCATTTATATCTTTGAACTATTAAATAAAAAATACAGGAAGTCTAAAAAATGTTGAAAAAAGTTAAAGTACGGCATCCAAACATGATTTATATTATATAAATTAAAATGAAGAAAATTGAAGTTATGTTTGCAGCCTATTTGTAAGAAAAATTATAGAAATTCATTAGAAATTGTAATAAAAAATTCCGTGTAAAAATACCACGATATTATCGTGATAAATTTGTTTTCAAGTGTGAAAGGGGAATATAACCCTATACACAGAATACTGTCCAACCTCATTATCTCAATCTTGATAAGACTAAGAAAAAACTTTAGAGATATGCAAGGAGTCAAGATACAAAGGGTAAAATACTAAAAGAGTAAGTGGTTGGGACATACTGGTGTTCATGATACCGAAGTTAAACTGTAGTAAATTCACGAATAAAAGAAGTATCATTATTTCAGATTAAAAATGCCTCCCACCTTTACTTTAACACCAATGAAAAGGTTATAAAACAAGAGGCCACGGGCCTTATAGCTCATCTGAGTATCATGCAACAACTGTCCAACAATTGAATTTGGTTCATGTTTTAAACCAGAGGCCATGAAATTCACAGTTTTTAAAGAGGCACCATTGCTCATCATAACTATACACTTAGCATGCTTATTTTGATTACTTAATACCCAGAGGTAGAGCAGAAAAACAAAGAAAAAATGCATTTCCCCTATATAATCAGTAGTGCCCCATCCAACAGGAACCCCTGACCCTGGGGACACACATTTAACAATTTTGGAAAAGGTACCCTTGCTCATCATAAATCTTTGATTAATACCAAAGAGCAGATTTCAAAGCATTAATTCAATTTCAGTAAATAATCATTAGCCCCCCCCCCCCCAATGGTACCCCTGACCCACGGGCCATGAAATTCACAATTCTGGAAGAGGCACCCTTCCTCATCATACAGTCCCTGAAACGTTCTACTTTCCCACTTGAACGGTGTGTGAATGCTGAACAAACGCAGAGCGAACGTGAGTGAACGGTGTATGAACGCTGAACGCAACTTGGTGAACGATGTGTGAACGGTGAGCAAACGCAGAACGTGAACAGAGCGCAAACACGAACGCAAAGTGAACGGTGAACAAACGGTGAACGCAAGATGAACGATATATTCGGAATGCTCTGATCTTTTCCATGCATTGAAACTATTTTATTGTATTATAATGTCAGGTGCCAAAAAAATAAATAAATAAATAATAAATAAGTAAACCAATAAATGAATGAATAAATAAGTCAATAAAATAAATTCTCCAAAATTGTCCTAAGAAAGACGATGCATACACATTAAGTTTTTAATCACACGATTTTTATCGCATTAAAACATTTCAATTGTTGCCACTGAAGTATGAACAAATCAGAGAAAACTTCTGACTTATAGAATGAATTAAAGCGGTTGTAACATCCATTCATATATCTCCATGTCAGGACGATTTCGTGTAAAGAAATGAAAAAAAAAATAATTACAAAGGTCAGTGGACGTTTTGCATTTATACGCTCGTATTTTAAATTTTAATACAATAATATATTATGTGTCATTTCTATTTTTCATGATCATGATTTATTGAGCAGACTTCTACATGTATATGTAGATGGCCGTGGTTATACTCGGACAAGATAATACAAAGATACATATTCATATTATTTGTTATAAATTCAATTTTCAGAACTTAATTTTTAAGTAATATGCTGTTATAGTTTTTATTAAACAGACAAATGAGAGAGAGAGACATAGAGAGAGAGAAATATTCCGTTTTAGCCCCCCCCCCCCCTCCTTTCAGGCTTCACTAAATGTTTGTACCTATATCAAACAAAAACTCTGATATTTTTTTCTAAATATATCAGACAGTGAAAGTAACTTTTATTTTTTTTATCAACAAATCATATTCATTTGTTTGACAGTCATACTCGTTTTTATTTTCCTGCTTCAAGTTCACACGAAGTCCACGTGCTTGTCCTGTCAA